AGAGGAAAAAAAAAATTTGGTGGGGAGGAGAGGGAGGGGCGAGGGGGGCGGGGGCGGCGCCAGCCACATTGGCGCACTCCCCCTGGCACCTGAGCGCAGCCCCGCTACGATGGCAGGAGGATGGCGCCGTCCCGTTGGACGACGGCGCCAACGACTCTAGCACCCCAAAAAAGACTATTTCTGGGATAAGTTTTTTTTAGTCTATTTGCGAAATAAGTTTTTCAAAATGACCAAATTGTGAAAAATCCAGCCCACTTGGCCGCCTCTAAGATCGAAACCAAACCAATCCATACAAGATTCCAGGCCAACCCAATCCAACCCATTCTTCTCAAATGGACTCAACCCATTTCCAATCCATGGGTTGAAACCAAACCGCATGAATGCTTCCCTATCTCAGGCCACCGTCTCTGCTTGACTGCTTCCTGCAACCATCTCCCACACAGATCAGGGCCAGCTTACCGTCGGTGCAGGAAATTTGATTTTGATTTGGGGGAAGTACATGGATGGAACCATGGATGACCAATTTTTAATCAGGCCACATCCAGTCCAACCCAACCCATATTAGATGTCAGTCCGATCCACTCCAATCCAATGTGAAATCTCAGCCCACTCAAAACCAACCAAACAGATCCAAATCAACATCAAACCCATTCTATCCAAACAAATCCAGCCTCTCACTTTTCCTTCCGTGAACTTTTCTGAGCTCACTAGCGCTGTAGCCCCTCATGCCCTCGTCTGAATTCCGAAGAAGTCAGTCACGCTTGGCGGCTGAAACAATAGTTAAATACAAGCATAATCAATCAAGAGTCTTCATCAAAGCTCGGATTACTTTGGGAAAGCAGCATTACCACTCGCAGGGTAAGCGTCACAAGCCTCCGGCCCGGCGGTCGCTGTCTCAGCTCATAGTCTCCTCCTACCCATTTGCTCCCTGCCCTCTACCTGTTCGACGAAATGCCGGAGAGGGCCATCACATACGCCGTGGTCAGTCACCGGTGCTAACTGTGCTGCTGGCTAGCGAAGCTGTTTAATTACCATCGGTTGTTCCATCTATGATCTATTGTGCTGCCCTGCAGGTTGATGCTTTCACAGATGAGCCATTCAAGGGGAACACGGCTGCCGTCTGCCTCCTCGAGGAGAGCTGGGAAGAACAGTTGGATGAGCAGTGGATGCAGTCCGTTGCCGCGGAGTTCAACACCTCCATTACCGCGTTCTTGGTCCGTGCTGATGCTGATGCTGCAAATCCCCAGTTTCATATCCGTTGGTTCACTCCTGTTCGCGAGGTACGTAGTACTGAGAGATCCCCTCATAATTTCCCCAAAGCGTAACCATGTGTGAATAAATTTTGAGCTAGTAGGGTTGCAGCCACGAGTAAGTCTTCCCTTGTTATTGTGTAGCCAGAATGCCGCAAAACTTCCATGCCTAAGCGAACTGTTGAGAGTACGTTTCGATTTCTGACTGTGTTAGCCTGGAAGTGCTTGTCCCAACCTTGTTTCTGAGCATGAACGCCCGCAAGCCAACATGTTAGTTGAAGCATCAGGGCGATTAGCAGCATGATATCAAAACGCTCTGAGCTGCTCGTTCGGCTATGGCGTAGGCCTAGTCCGTAGGCAGGACTTTTCAAGTCTCGGAAGGTTTCTTCAATCTGCATTCGCTTCGAATAGATATTAACAAGTTGTTTGGGTGTTCGAATTTCAACAGGTAAGTTAGTTGCTAGAACCCATGGCTCCTTTGCCGACGCTGAGTAGATTTTAGGTGACGGGTGGTGACAATGAGTCCGTGTCGAGCGCTGATTTTTTCGGCCTTTAGAGCGAGATTTATACAATAGAATTTGGCATGAGATTGGATTGCTTTTAGTCAGCCTCTTATAGCCTAAAGTCTTTGAGTGACTAGATGACATATCATGTAAGTTGCTGATAGGTTTCCAGTTTTCCGCTCCTAGGTCTGCATATTGTACTTTTCCTCTTACTCGACTTAACCAGTACCAACCCAGCTTCTCAACGGATTTATACCATGGCACTTTAAAGCCAGCATCACTGACAATGAGCGGTGTGGTGTTACTCGGTAGAATGCTCGCAAGGTCGGCTAGAAATTGGTCATGAGCTTTCTTTGAACATTGCTCTGAAAGCGGGAACGCTTTCTCATAAAGAGTAACAGAACGACCGTGTAGTGCGAATGAAGCTCGCAATACCATAAGTCGTTTTTGCTCACGAA